ATAATTCTTGCAATTTAAATCGTCATTGTGTGCGTCTCCAAGAAGGGAGGCAGCTCTTATGCACACACTGCCCCAAATGAAAACCACCTTCATTGTTTAGATGGATGCACTAGTGGCTGGCACCTCATTCTAGGATTGAATCCAAAGAGTATTACCTAAAGAATTATAAAGCCAGGATTAGAAGCGCAGCTAAAGACATTGTAGACGCTGCCGTCCAAAATGTGGGAAAACACAAGAACGCCATGTCAGCGATCCAGGTTGAGAGCCACATCAGGCAAACGTCAAGAGACACAATATTTAACCGACATGTTATGAAGTTAGTATCAAGTTGAATACGAGCCAATCGCCCTACATCAGCAAGCTTCGTGGACTCATGGCTAAACTCAAAGAGGCTGGGTCTCCGGTCTCAACCAAGGTGCTCATCCTTTGCTCTATTACCCAGAGTTACAGTAGTTCTCGTCTATGCTCTTGTTCATTCCAGATCAAATGCTTGAGACTCTTTAGTCTTGGAAGAAGAGTGCAAGATGAGGAACACAATAAGGCCTCTCGGGATGCTCTTCATGAGCAGGCCTCGTATATCGGTAGCAAACCTTCTGGAGACAAGAAGAAAGGGGCTTTCATGCAGAAGTCCAACGACTCTTCTTCCCAATCTGGCATCAACACTATCAAGAAATGCAAAGGCCTACTATGGCAAGATAGAACATGTGGAGCAGGAGTCCGACCTCAAGAAAGCTGCTGAAAAGAACCCATGCTATTATTCTCAACCTGACACCCTTCTCATGATGACGTTTGCTCATCTCAGGGATCAGAAGCTGAAACCCTTCGGATGGATTCTGGGGCTTCAATGCATATCACACTTCTCAGATCTGCCTTCCATACTTACATTGAGTTGGAGACCTTGAAACAGGTGTACGTGGGAGACATGAGAGCACTCACAATCACTGGGCATGGAATGGTGGTCATCAAACTTCCTAATAGCTCACACAAACATCTCAAGAGGATGTTCTATATTCCAGGGATCAAACAGTTCTTTCAGTTAGTGTAGCATCTAACCAAAGGCTTCTCCACGTTCTTCTGCACTACTGGCTGTACTATCTTTGGACCAGATGGTGATAGTGGCTGATGTATGATACTCTCTACCATCTTAATACAAAATTACTATTTCCCTCAGAATCCAAGAGGCAGCTGCTTGCCTATTATGACCCATCTCCTATTTGCCATTGGCACCTCGTCTTGGGCACATCCACCTCATTGCTCATTGCAATTTGGTTGAAGGCTTCACACTTCCCTCTAGGCAGCTCGGGATTTGTGGAGCATGCCAATAGGGAAGCAGCCACAACTCCCTTCCCTCTATGATCCCAAGACGATGGTGCTTCAAGGATAGTCTACTATTTCCTTGAGCCATAAAAGGTACTTCGTATCTTTTATTAATGATACTGAACTGTTTGTACACTTCAAAGCTTATAAGATGACAGATGGTGGAGGGGAATTTGTTTCCAATGAATTCCATTAGTTTCTTCAGGAAGTTGGCATTCTCCACCAGTACTCTGTTGCTTAACAGAGTGTGCCAACCAAACTTAGGTTGCAATCTTGTATTAGCCAAGTGGCTGTTTAAACACAAGTACAAAGCTGATGGCACGGTCAAAGCTCACTTTGTAGCTTGCAAATTCTCAAGTTCTAGGGTTGGATTACTCTGCAACTTACAGCCTGTAAAGCTCACAATGATTAATTTGCTTTTAACCCTCATCAGTTAGACTTGTGTATAGTTTTTCTGAACAATGAGCTCAGGTCTACATAGCTCAACCTCTTGGCGTTGTGCATGTTGATGAAGAGCACCTTGTTTCTACGGCCTTAAACAATCACGGAGAATGTGGTACAACATTTCTCTTGGTTATATGCGCAGTACAACAAACACTAATCTCTACATCTTTAGACAAAGTCGAGGCTTCCACTTGCTCTATATAGATGATAGCATACTTGGCCTCTAACCAACTTTGTCTTCTCAACCAGATCAAGCAATCATGTTTCTCACAATTTGAGCTTAGGCATCTTGGTTCACCAGAACAGGCAATGAGGGATTCTGGAACTTTCTCTGGCTAAGTATATCACAAATATCCTCAAGAGGTACTCTATGATTCATGCTCGTTGCTACACCAACGGAGGCTGGTTCCAAGCTCTCCAAAGCTACTTCTGCTAATCCAATTCCCAAGGAGGAGAATGAGAGGCTTTATCAATCCATAATCAGCTATCTGGTCAAGAAAACCAGACCCTGCCTATTCAATGGGCTGTGTGGCAAAGTACCTGGACCATAACTCATTGGGCAGTGACTAAATGGATCATGTGGTATGTTTCTAGAACTAGAAATATAACCTTGCAAAGGCAAGAGCTCGACAAGCTCGAAACTGGTTGAGTTTACTGATGCGAATTGGGGAGGAAACAGTGATGACCAGTGCCCTACATCTGGTTACATTTTCCTCCTGGCAACATGATTAGCTGGTGTAGCAAAAGACAATCTCTCAAAGCCATGTCCAGGACAAAGGCAGAGTATGTGTTTGCTGCTGCTGCTGCGAAGGAGGCTATTTGGCTCCAAATAGTCCTTCAGGACTTGAGAGTGACGACAAAATCTATCAAACTGTGGTGTGACAATATGTCTGCTATAGCTTTGTCTAAGCACTTCTGGAATTCTTCTTAATAGTCTCAATGGTGGCTGACATCCTAACAAAACCTCTTCCTCTCATCATCTTCCAGAAGCAGTGTTGACTAGTTAATGATGCTTTCCTTGAGGGGAGTGTGGGAAAAGACACGAACACCACATCAGTGATCTAGGCTGAGAGCCACATCAGCCAAACATCAATAGACAAATAGCAAATTATATAAATATGTAACTGAGCAAAAATTATATACAAAAGAGTGTTGGCCATGAGTTGGTTGTTGTCCACTGCCAGCTGCCCTAATTTGAGATGCCATCACCACGCTTGAGCAGTAGGACTATATACATGATCTAGACTCTAGCCAATCTCTACCTCTCTTCACCAAGAACAGTGCAACTGTTGTGTTTGAGACAACAACCAGGCCGTTAGTGTGTTTCGGTGAAGTAAAGCAATCAGTGGGATTGTACTGGTTCCGGACTGACTCCTGTTACTGATGTCATAGTTGGAACCTGCAACTGCACTGCAACTTTTCTTGATGGCTGCAACTGTTGAAACTATTTGTTGTCATTCAACCGTTGTGTTCTCTTTGCTATGAGCACATCTGATACAGGTGAAACAACTTCTTCTTCTCCTTCATTGAACAAATCAATCAATGAAATTTATTCATCTACTAGCATATCCTTCCACGAACTTAGCATGAGACTTACTAGGGTCAGGTGTCTTTGATCGAAGGACAGGTTAAGCATGGTGCCATCAAGTGTTGAGAGCGTTTTCTTAGCACCTTGCTGATACTTCCCCAACCTCATGCCTTCATACTATCTAATAACCTTTGTTATGGACGCTTGCCAATACAGATCTAGTTCAATCAAGCTAGGAGACTCACGAACCTGACCATGATGAATTGTGGTTGAAGACGACGACGAGGGCTCTGTGGAAGGACTGATCCCACAGCGGAGTTGTCTGGCAATGGTTGACGAGTGTGAACTTTAGATGACGCCAGTCCAAGAAAGCCATGCCCTCCCCCTCAACGTCCCAGGGCAGTTCGTTACATTTCGGAAACATGCAGTGGAGCTGATCTGATCCCTAAGCCATCCCACCTAGTTGTTTGAAGCCCGAAACGTACCCATACCTTGTAACACATCGTTTCAGATTATAGCAGACACAGGAGAGTTGCTCAACACTTGAGACCAATCTAACAAGATTATGTCGTGCCAATCTAGAAAGGTGTATTTCATTGCCCTTTTAGAGTGTACAAAAAGAAAAAAGGAAAAACCCTAGTTCTCCCGTTCTCAAAAGGAATTTACAAATGCCTATGCTGGCCATTTGCTTTCATCTCATGCCGCAGTGGAACATGACTGCGTGGAACACCCTTCTCGTCTCTTACAGTCAACGCGGCTTCTTAGCGGACGCTTCCAAGGTCTTTGGCGAAATGCCACGAAGGGACCGAGTCAACGTGGAATTCCATGGTCGCGACAAACGTGCACGTGGACCAGTTGCTGACCTTGACTGGCAGAATGCCGGAGTTGGGGTTGACCGTGATCGCCGGCAGCGGTTGCGTTGACCGGCCCAAGGCCTTCTTTATCCATGCCGCAAAAGGTGTCATGGACGGCTCTGATGGAAGCGAACGTCCAGAAGATGGCGATCAAGCAAGAGCTTTGTTTCGAAGAATTCCCAGCTGGAATGTCCTGGCTTGGCTTGGCGGCAAATGGAGATATGCTCGAAGTCATGGAAACTTTCAACTCGGCCCCGGATGCCACTTTGCAGGCGGTGATGCTCTCCGCGTATGCCAGAACGGGCATCTCGACAACGTCTTTGAGGACATGCCTGGAATACAATACTCGACGCCTCGAAAGATGAAAGCTTACCGAGCATCGCTGCCACAAGCGCAAGCCTGCAACATCTTCGTGAAGTAACAGCCAGAGAGAATGATAGATTAGAAAAAGCTCATTGCTGGCAATGTAATGATAAGCCAAAGACGCTCTGGAACGGCTAGTGGCCGTTGAGCCAAGAGGAACAGACCCATGCGTACCTGCTGAATCCATCCATAACTTTCACAGCGGTACATTCTTCAACTTTTCTGGGGCCTGACTGTCAATGGAAAACTTCAAGCAAACACAAAACGATTTGCTAGAAAATCTTTCAGGTACATTGATCACCTTTCTTCCTGGCAGACAGAGGAAGATGATCGTCCTGCGACTATTCAAACTCCGAGTTCCGGGATCCGTCCTCCTTGCTTGCGCCATTCCCGCGTAGAGCGGGATCTTTAGTACGTCAACAGAAAAGCTCCAGTTCGAGCAGGAATAGTCAGTGGCGTGGCAATCAGAAAAGAGAATCCGAATGAGAGAATTTTCTAAATCTGCATTGACGTTTCTCTTAGACTTGTGTGTTTGACTGGAGTTGTAGTCGTGCCAAAGATTCAAACAATTGGGAATATATTGGTTTTGAATTAGCAAGATTTAGAATGAAATGCTGTGTTGCGGCATCTCTGGAATCCTGATCTGTTTAGTTTCCCTCTGTGGGGAATTTGGGGGGTCTTGCCAATGCAGCGCTGGCGTGCTCTTCTCCAAGAGATCATCTGCCAAATCCTACCTTGGTTGATTGTGAATCCGTGATGCCGTCGGAACAGCTGATGAGGATTGTGATGGCCGCGCAGCTAAACCTCAAAGCTCGGCTACTTCTAATGCCAGATCGATCCCTTCCATGGGTTGGGTGGTCGAGCTCTCCCCAGTCAAGCCATGGTCACTTGGTCTTGAGCTCGTCATAGTGGTCACCATGTCCACGATCTTTGCGATGTCCAGCGCTTTCTCCTGCTCCATGCTCAACAGCTTCTGGTCGTGGAGGCTGCACAGAATCGACATTGCATGCTTGCTCCTCTCGCCATCGTGATTATCCAAACCAAAGGAGAGCGCGCTCATGAGAACTGCTATAACATCGTCACTGCTACTGCCGCTTCCATCGAGTAGCGTTTCCAGGTACTGGCGATTCTTGCAGCAGAGAAGATCCAGCACTACTGCCACTTTGCTTCCTAGTGGATCAGCTTGGCAGGTACGGAGGAGGTGGAACAATCCATAGATGACGCTCTTGTAGCCAGGGAGAAGATCACCATGAGCGTCTAGAGCTAGCTCCTGGAGCTCCTGGGAGGAACAAAAGAGAGCATTCGCGAGGTACCTTGTCAAGTCGTGATTCTTCCTGAGTAGCGTCCTCAAATTCGCTGCGATCTTCTGCCTGGAGATCTGGATCTCTGGCTCTACATCGACCCTGGCTGGATCATCTCCATCGCCATTGAAGGTATAGCGCAGGGAATCCTTCCACTCCTTGTGCGTATCCCCTCGAGCAAAATCAAAGTTCGCGATCACACCCGGCTCGGCATTGGCAATCCCTCCAAATGCCGCAACCTTTCCTAGCAGCTCCAGCACCGACTTGTTGGTATCCGGCTCCAGCGCTTTCACCAGAAGCGAGACGCCTTCACCACTGGCCTGGACGAGGTGTGCCACAGCTAAGAAGGCGTTTTCATCTTCGCAGATCTCGGCCGCTAGAGAAATCGCCGCTCGCCGGTAGATGAGATAGTACTTGTGGCTCATGCACTCGAACAGCCGCTCCACAACTTGACGCTTAGATGCCAAGAGGAGCTTCCCACTTTGCTTTCTCTGATCTTCTTCTTCCCAGTGGCACACCGCATCCAGCATCAGCAAGCTCTTCCTCAGCTCCCGGTTGCCTCTCGATTCCAAGAACTCGTTCGCGACGTAGTCGACCAAGTTCATCCTTAGCCCCTTGATGGCTCCATCTCTCAACGTCGTCTCGTACACGGCAACGAAGAACTTGGACTTAGTTTCCAGGAGAAATCTCGGTCGGTCCCTGTTCTTCTTCGCCTTCTTGTACCTCACTGATATGATCTCCCAGCAGCCGTGGATGCACAGGAACAAGCTCGACTCGGCGATGACGATCGAGGAGAAGCTGATCATTGCGACGAGCTCGTTGAACTTTGGATAATTGTGGTGCTGTGGTAGCCAGACGATCGTGGCTCTGAGGCTGACGAGAGCCAGAACGATCTCAGTATTGTAGGCCATGTTGTAGACGATGACGAATGAGCGCCCGGAGCGAGCATTGTACAAAAATCTGAGAGGCAGCAGCAAGAGAAGCAGCGGCATTGCAAGAACAATACTGGGCCGCCCAAGGGGCCAAAGAGGGCGATGAGGGGAAAGAGGGCGATGACGAGTAGGATCAGGCGGGAATTCACCTTTCGTTTCTTTAAGCCTTGGGACAAGTTGAGAAATCGGAAGCCCCTGATGCCATAGCTAACGAGCAGGAGAATGACGTAGTAGAAGTCCAAGGTTTTCAGATCGTTCACGAATCCCCCCAGGAGAACCACAGTCGCCCACAGGAACATAAACTTTCCCAAGTTCGTGGTGAACTGCTCCAGAGTTGCGAGCAACACAGCACCCATAATAGATCAATTTTCCTGTTTTGCTGGAGCTAGCTTCCTGCCTGTTCTTCACTCAAACGTGTTTTGATCGGATCCTTCAGCGCTAGGTCATTTGCAGCTTCCAAGAATCATCACGCTGGAAAATCTCATTAGTAGCAATGACACTGAATATGTACACTAAAAAGTTTACCTCTTGATAGTCGTACACTACAATTCGCGTCGAAAGAACTCTCCTGGCTCTGAAAACAATCACCCAAGAATCTGTTCACCGAGCAGCAGTATTCACAGCTTGATCTTACTCCGTCTCTTCCGGTGGTGACTTCACATAGCGGCCCAGAGACTTCTGCTTGTAACGGCTACGCATTCTAGCCAGCCTCTCCTTGTTCCTGCGCTTCCTTTCCAACTTCATGTTGTATCTCTCCTGCCTCTCCCTCTCCAGAATTCCCTGCCAGAACACTTCTCCCGTGTGTGGCCAGAGCCACCGGTACGTAGGATGCTCGTCGTCAACTTTCTCGGCCATCCATTCCCTTGAGCACGCTAAAGCTGAACCACTTCACTTTCATCTGCCTGCGTCGGCTCTCGAGAGCATTCTGCTCCATCATTATACCCGTCTCAGGATCCACGTAGATGAGTCTCCTGGCACTGTGATACGCCCAAACGTTCACCAGGACCTCAAGTAGACAGCAATAGCAGTGTTGAGCCTAAGAGATTTAGTATTTAGAACTCACAGCCACAAGAATTCGAGGTTGTACCATGTGTGGTTGCAAGAGGACAGTTTCCATGATCGTGATTGTCAACGTAGAGCTGAGAATCGAGAGCGTCCACGAACATCCTAGGACAAGATACCCAGTTAAGTTGGAGTATGTGCAACAAACTGCAACAGACCAGGAAAACATGACGAACTCCACGAAAGATGAGGTAGACATAGCCCAGCAATGCTTACCAGACCAGACGCCAAATGGCATCGTTGGAAGCTCCAGTTGGTCTTTGTTTAAGCCATACATTGTCTTGAATGTCTCCATGAAAATCCGCCTGGAATGGACACTGTTGGCCTTGACAAACTTTGTCTTGACACATACCTGCAGTTTCCAGCATTGCTTGCATTGCAAGAAGTCCAGAAATCTTCCAACTTGCCATAAACGGCATCGCCATGAATACCGACCCTCACAACCTCGGCTAGAGAGTTTTCAGCTTTTGGCAACAGAGCAACCCAAGGAAAGAAAAATTTAAGATTGTATCCACCATCAATCCACAAACAGCTTGAAGCTTTCCTGCTGTGGCATTTGTGGTTGAGGTAGTGTTTCTTCTTCATCAATCATACTATCAAAAGTATGTTGTAGTTCCAACAATGCTGCTAGCTCTTCATCATCATAAGTGATACTGCTTTCCACCTCTTTTGAAACATCTCCCTCACCACTTGTTCAATTCATAGCTTCTAACGCTTTTGCTGCCTTTTTGTGAAAAAAATCCTTATATTTCCAAAGTTTGCTCCACTTAGAGTAAACCTTTCGCCTCAAGCAAGCCAGCTTGAAGAGCTTGTATATTTTTCAAATCTGTTTCTATACTTGAGAAAGAGAGTAAGATTAAAGAATATTTAACAAAGACATACCTGTATAGTCAGTCAGCTTTAATGCAACTGTTCCTCCATGTTGCTTCTCAAGTCTTTGTTAAATATTCCCATATAGATTCTTGTTTCTTATGTGAAGCTGGAAACTTTAAAATTGATATAGCCTTCATCTCAGCAATTTGGTTTATGGAACCAGCACTATCCAGCAAATCAAATGAGTCATAAATTCACTCATTTCTCACCATACCACCAATTTTGCTAAAAAGTGACTCACAATGGTCTAATCTTGTCTCAATCTATAGGAATGGGGTGTTTTCAATACTTATCTCTGAATAACTTGATAAGGAGAACGTTGTAGTGGCAACTAATCTAAATATCCGGAAAAATCTCATTTGAAATGAAGTTGTCCTTCAGATTGCAAGCCTTGTCTTGCAATATCCAAAGTTGTCACAGCCTATACGCAAAAAAGAATTGAAATTAGTCTCTAAGTATAAACAAAGTAAACTTGAAGAAGAAAGATGTTTCTGCAACAGCTTTGATATAGCCTTCGAGTTGGGGACAAGAAGATGTCAATGTAATATATCACAATACTTAAATACGCTTCAATTCCTTCACTAGGTTCACTTTGTTGGGATCCATCACCCCATAATATGCATATGCAAACTTGAACTTTCTTGGATGCTAGTCTTTATAGTAACTTAGTTTTAACAATCCTTCCTATCCAATTGGTTTAAGGGGGAAGAGATAGGGTGCACTACAACAAAAGGTTGGTATTGCTAGATCCTTTATCAGTCTTTGCCTAAACTAGTTGAAAAATTGATCTTCACATATATATTTGACTAAATAGTACTAGGCTAGGTGACTTCTCAAAAAGTTCAACTTCAAGTAGTATTGAAAAGGTTTTAAATTATATAACACATGTGATTATGGGATGATATTTAAATATATTGTCACTATGGATCCTTAGAACTTTAAAGGGTAAATGAGGATAAAATAAGTGTGGTATATATGGTATTGGAGCAAATAGTATGGGTTCAATTCACATTGAATAGTGGCTACTTAAAATATAATATACTTGTGAGCAAGATATGAATCGTGGCAATGGGCTTCTATTCTGCCTCTGCCTCTTCCTCTGCCTCGGGCTTCGTCTCCGCCTCTGGCTTTGGATAGTCATGCTCCTGAGGAGGAGGAGGAGGTGGAGGAGCAAGGGAATTCTTCTGTGCAACAAAAGAATTCATTCAAAGCAAAGAAACAGATTTTTGTACCTCCCTGTAGATCTTAAGGTTATGATCCAACTGCTTCTCCTTCATGAACGTGATGTGTAGCCTTTTTGTTCATCGCCTTCTCCTTCTCCGCCATCGCACTTGGCTGCTTTCCCGCCCAAATATGCTCTTTTATTCTCAAATTGCCATTTCCTTTTAACGCATTGAGTGTAATCATTATCTATTCTTCATGATCACGAGGCCTTCCGGTCCTTTTCAAGGCTCCAGGATTTTCTGGAAGCAAACAAGAGCTAGCAGCTAATTTGCCTTCTGCTTTAATCTTTTTATTTGAGTGCTTGCAGCTATTTATGCGAACGATTTTGGCTGTTCGCTGCATCAGCTTGCATTGAGGAGGCAAGGCAGTAGCCTTATGGTGACACTTACATGCTTGGACTGGCCTCTTTCTTTTATCGTGGATCATCTCTCCATTTTACGTGTGGAGTTCTTCCCATGAATCAAAACTAAGTGTGCTGGCAAGCCATCCGGTTGAGGAGATCACGCATTCTCAACTTCCCTCTGCAAAAACGCATCCCATATGTGACCAGCTCCACACCCTGTATGCCGGAGGGCCGGGATACACCAAGTTCAACGGCTCAAGAACCACGAAGTCTACCTCTTGGCATTGCTTGAGAAGACCGTGAGATCTTCCTCTTCTTCTTCCTGAGTGGTCATCTTTTATTCGTGCCACTGCCATAGTCTCCTAGGATGTAGTTTCTTTCACCCCGACCTCGAGGTGCCCTGTGTGATCCGCACTGGCTCAAAACATGCCGGTTGTGTTGAAGTTCATTGCGATCCTTCCCTTGGCCGAGGCTTTTTTTACGTGAAAATCGATCGCCACGCCACCTTTCTACAGGTGCGTGCAATGGAGGACAACGAGATGATCGGTGTTGACAACTAGATGGAAGCCAGCATCATGGACGGTGCCACTGGGCCTCACCGCGGTTGGCACGCGTCGTCATGGATAAGACTCCTTTGAACGCTTTCTCTTGTCTTGTTAACTGCAAAGTTTGAATTGACAGGGAGTTGAAACTGCCGATCCCAGCTACTTAATCTCCGAGAAAAACATCTAGCACCAAGGAGATGCAAATCGTTCAGGTAGAGTGGGATAGTTCGTTTTGTTCTCACGCAATTGCTAACTGATCTCTCGTGAAAGCTAGATCGACTACTTGCCGCATTCCGAAGCTGGCGAGACAAGGGTTGTGTGGCCGTGCACGGCTGCCACTTCCACCGGGGGCCCGGTGAACAAGCTGGCAGGTCGCAGGAATTTACGCGAGTGGTGTCCGCAACCAGGAAAGGCGAGAGCATCATTCGACGCATGGTTGCCGCACTTGCATGAAGTACAAAGCTCTCAAGCTCAAGGAGCTCAAGGCAGGGACAACGGGTCTGGTGGCAGTCAAGTCAAGCTTATCACCAATTCAACCACGTCCAGGCACATCGTCCACTCTCTAGCTCAGCAACACCCAGTCTGAGGCAGGACTGACTCTGCAGCCGAGCGCTTGATGTCGCCGGCAACCTGCTGCCTAGGGCTGGTAGCTTAGAGTGGTGCTGCATCTTTCTCAGAGCGCTCCTTCTCCTGCCGGATAATGTCGGCAGCGGGCCTGATGGCTCGTGTCAGGTGGTAAGTAGAGCGTTTTGCACACCATCGAAGCGGGAATATTGAATCACTTAAAGCTGCAGGTAAGTTTTGTGAATTGAACAACACTCTTCTCAGTATATAGAATAAAGGTGTGGGGCTGAACCCAATTAAATAGGAATATTCTCAAGGAGCTTAAAAGAGATCAATATAAAAGGGTTTATCAGCTTTATAAATTGCATAGGGTTTTATGGTGTCATGATGCTCTCCACGTATGCCAGAACGGGCATCTCGACCACGTCTTTGAGGACATGCCTGGAATACAATACTTGGCGCCTCAAAAGATGAAAGCTTACCGAGCATCGCTGCCACAAGCGCGAGCCTGCAACATCTTCGTTAAGTAGCAGCCAGCGAGAATGATAGATTAGAAAAAGCTCATGCTGGCC